CTTCTCACTGTGCTGCTGCTGTCGCTCCTCCCCGCCTTCTGTTCGTCGCCCCTGCAGGGGGGCAGGGAAGCCGTCGGGGGGAGGAAGGAATGGGGGCAGGATGGAGGAAGGGAGGCGGGTTAGGAGTACCATCAGCAGGCCGTTGCCCTCGACGAGGCCATTGTTCTCAACGAGGCTGTTGAGAGCGTGGTGCGTCTGGTTGCCTAATGCGTGCGGCTGTCAGATTGCTGACCTGGGCTCTGGCGAGAGAAAGAAAGGACCATCAGCAGGAGGACGACGACGAGCACGACGACCCACGACGACGAGCACGACGGTGACGACGACGAGGAGGAGGACGACGACGAGGAGGACGTCGACGAGCACCGCGAGCGGCCTGGCTGGCTGGAACCCTGTCCCCAGGAGGCCCGGCAGCGACACCAGCTGGCTCATCAAGCGCAATGTTCCGATCGAGGTGGCGCCTCTGCGGTCGCCGCCTGGCGTCGACGAGTTCCCGGGCGCCGCGGACCTTGAGGACGCCCATGGGGAGGAGGAGTAGGAGGAGGAGGAGGAGGAGGAGGAGGACGATGAGTAATATTACGATCACGAGTCGGAGTGGACGGAGGAGGAGGATGAGGAGGAGGAGGAGGAGGGAGGAGGAGGAGGGTGATAATGAGGAGGAGGAGGAGGGAAGGAAGAAAGAGGAGGAAGGGGGGGATGATAATAGTGATGATGCTGCTGCTGCTTCTGATTATTATGAAGATATTGATGATGGTGTTGATGCTGCTGCTGATGATGGTGATGGTGGTGGCGGTGATGTTGATGTTGATAATCTCAGCGATGATCATGATGAGGATGATGATGATGATGATGATGATGATGATGATGATGACGGCGACGGTGCTGCTGCTGCTGATGATGATTATGATGACGACGGCGATGATGATGATAATAATGATGGTGGTGTTGATGACGATGATCTTGATGATGACGACGATGACGATGATGATGCTGCTGCTGATGATGGTGATTCTACTTCTGATAGTGCTGATGCTGCTGATGATGATGACGACGATGCTGATGATGATGATGATGATGATGATGATGATGATGGTAACGATGCTGATAATGATGTTGATGATGATGATGCTGCTGATGTTGCTGCTGATTGTTGTTGCTGAAAATCTAAAAATGATCATGATTATGAGGTTGAGGCTGCTGCGGCTGACGATGATGATCAAGCTGATGCTGATCGTGCTGCTGCTGCCAATGATGATGCTGATGCTGATGCTAATGCTGATGATGATGATGATGATGATGATGCTGCTGCTGATGATGATGATGATGATGATGGTGGTGGTGGTGGTGGTGGTGCTGATGATAATGATGATGATACTGCTGATGAGTACAGCAGCAGCAGCAGTAGCAGGAGCAGTAGCATAAGTAGTAGTAGTAGTAGTAGTAGTAGTCGTCGTCGTCGTCGTCGTCGTCGTCGTCGTCGTCGTCGTCGTCGTCGTCGTCGTCGTCGTGGTCGTAGTAGTACTGCTACTAGTAGTAGTTATGGTAATAGTTGTAGTAGTTGTAGTAGTAGTAGTAGTAGTAGTAGTAGTAGTAGTACTACTAGTAGTAGTGGCGGTGGTGGTGGTGGTAGTAGTAGTAGTGGTAGTAGTAGTAGTAGTAGTAGTAGTAGTAGTAGTAGTAGTAGTAGTAAAAGTAGTAGTAATAGTAGTAGTAGTAGTAAGAGTAGGAGTAGGAGTAGGAGTCAAGCTAGCCAGCTCGAGCGAGTCAAGCATGGCATGCCCAGTCCCACCCGCCCTCCCACAACATAAGAAGCAAAGCTGGCACAACTGGGGGCCGAAGTCACACCGGCCAGCCGGTTTGGTACAGCTGATGCGGCCGCGATGGCGGTTGCCGACGGGAACTGGCGAGCGCGTGTTGAATGCCGCGCACGCATTGCCAGACGAGTCGAGAATGGCCCGGTACACCGCAGGAAGCCAGAGGTGGCCGGAGGAAGCCCGACGGTCTGACAGGACACCCCAAAGCATTTTTGTGAAAAAGCATTGGGTTTTTGATGTTTTTATGTTGAAATGCTTGCAAACACACGGTGTTCGGTAGGATTCTGACATGAACGCGCGAGTGTGCTCTTTGTGTATTTTTTGCACAGGATTCGCGGCCTGGGTGCATGACAGAGCATCGCGAGTGCACCGCGCGATGACGTGAAATCGCTGGATTTGAAGAATTCTTAAGATTCCTATGGTTTTCCTATGATTTCAGCAAGAGAGCCCGGGCGGGAAATTTGTACATTTTTTGTGAAAAAGCATTGGGTTTTTGATGTTTTTATGTTGAAATGCTTGCAAACACACGGTGTTCGGTAGGATTCTGACATGAACGCGCGCGTGTGCTCTTTGTGGTATTTTTTGCAATGGATTATCGCCGTGGACGACAGGACGTCCATGTCGAGAGGAAAAAATAAGAAAAATGTTGATTTTGTATTGTTTTTTACAGGTTAGGATGGGACCACCCGGATGCGGCCCCTAATGGCGGCCTGAGGGGGGAGTAGGAGTATATTCTAATAGGAGTAGAGTCAAGCTAGCCAGCTCGAGCGAGTCAAGCATGGCATGCCCAGTCCCACCCGCCCTCCCACAACATAAGAAGCAAAGCTGGCACAACTGGGGGCCGAAGTCACACCGGCCAGCCGGTTTGGTACAGCTGATGCGGCCGCGATGGCGGTTGCCGACGGGAACTGGCGAGCGCGTGTTGAATGCCGCGCACGCATTGCCAGACGAGTCGAGAATGGCCCGGTACACCGCAGGAAGCCATAGGTGGCCGGAGGAAGCCCGACGGTCTGACAGGACACCCCAAAGCATTTTTGTGACACCCCAAAGCATTTTTGTGAAAAAGCATTGGGTTTTTGATGTTTTTATGTTGAAATGCTTGCAAACACACGGTGTTCGGTAGGATTCTGACATGAACGCGCGAGTGTGCTCTTTGTGGTATTTTTGCACAGGATTCGCGGCCTGGGTGCATGACAGAGCATCGCGAGTGCACCGCGCGATGACGTGAAATCGCTGGATTTGACAGAATTCTTAAGATTCCTATGTTTTCCTATGATTTCAGCAAGAGAGCCCGGGCGGGAAATTTGTACAATTTTTTGTGAAAAAACATTGGGTTTTTGATGTTTTTATGTTGAAATGCTTGCAAACACACGGTGTTCGGTAGGATTCTGACATGAACGCGCGCGTGTGCTCTTTGTGGTAGTTTTTTGCAATGGATTATCGCCGTGGACGACAGGACGTCCATGTCGAGAGGAAAAAATAAGAAACATGTTGATTTTGTATGGTTTTTTACAGGTTAGGATGGGACCACCCGGATGCGCCCGCTATCTGCCGGCCTGAGGGGGGAGTAGGAGTATATTCTAATAAGGAATAAGGATAGGAGTAGTAGTTTTAGTTTTAGTAGTAGTAGTAGTAGTAGTAGTAGTAGTAGTAGTAGTAGTAGTAGTAGTAGTAGTAGTAGTAGTAGTAGTAGTAGTAGAAGTAGAAGTAGGAGTAGGAGTAGTAGTAGTAGTAGTAGTGGGAGTCGGAGTCGAGGTCGGAGTCGAAGCGGAGTCGGAGTCGGAGTCGGAGTCCGGAGTCGGAGTCGGAGTCGGAGTCGAGTCGAGGCTGAGTCGGAGTCGGAGTCGGAGTAGGAGTCGGAGTCGAGTCGGAGTCGAAGAGTCGGAATTCGGAGTCGGAGTAATAGAGTAAAGTAGAGTAGCATAGGATTGAAGTAGGAGTATGAGTAAGGAGTAGGAGTAGGAGTAGAGTTAGAAGTAGGAGTAGGAGTAGGAGTAGGATAGGAGTAGGAGTAGGACAGTACGCGTAGGAGTAGAGGATGATTATGAAGTAGTAGTAGTAGTAGTAGCAGTAGTAGTAGTAGTGGTAGTAGTAGTAGGAGTAGGAGTAGGAGTATGAGTCAAGCTAGCCAGCTCGAGCGAGTCAAGCATGGCATGCCCAGTCCCACCCGCCCTCCCACAACATAAGAAGCAAAGCTGGCACAACTGGGGCCGAAGTCACACCGGCCAGCCGGTTTGGTACAGCTGATGCGGCCGCGATGGCGGTTGCCGACGGGAACTGGCGAGCGCGTGTTGAATGCCGCGCACGCATTGCCAGACGAGTCGAGAATGGCCCGGTACACCGCAGGAAGCCTGAAGGCCCCAACTTGTACTGTTTTTTATAACGGGGGGGTTTGGATGGGCGGGCGCGGGGTGTGCGCCGCATCCCATTCCTGCCAAGCATTTTGCGACGTGGACGACAGGACGTCCATGCTGAGAGGAAAAACGTTGGTGCGCTGCGCCGAGGCGAGAGCGACATGTCACCCCTTCGCGCGGGGTGTGCGCCGCGTCCCATTCCTGCCACGCATTTTGCGACGTGACGACAGCACGACCATGTTGACAAGAACAACAAAACTGTGTATTGTCTTTTGCAGATTAGAATGGGACGGATTGGATGGGCGGGCGCGGGGTGTGCGCCGCGTCCCATTCCTGCCATGCATTTTGAGACGTGGACGACAGGACGTCCATGCGACGGTGCCAATGTTTTTTTATGTTTTTATGTTGAAATGCTTGCAAACACACGGTGTTCGGTAGGATTCTGACATGAACGCGCGAGTGTGCTCTTTGTGGTATTTTTTTGCACAGGATTCGCGGCCTGGGTGCATGACAGAGCATCGCGAGTGCACCGCGCGATGACGTGAAATCGCTGGATTTGACAGAATTCTTAAGATTCCTATGGTTTTCCTATGATTTCAGCAAGAGATCCCGGGCGGGAAATTTGTACAATTTTTGTGAAAAAGCATTGGGTTTTTGATGTTTTTATGTTGAAATGATTGCAAACACACGGTGTTCGGTAGGATTCTGACATGAACGCGCGCGTGTGCTCTTTGTGGTATTTTTTGCAATGGATTATCGCCGTGGACGACAGGACGTCCATGTCGAGAGGAAAAAATAAGAAAAATGTTGATTTTGTATTGTTTTTTACAGGTTAGGATGGGACCACCCGGATGGGGCCCCTATCTGCCGGCCTGAGGGGGGAGTAGGAGTATATTCTAATAAGGAAGAAGGATAGGAGTCAAGCTAGCCAGCTCGAGCGAGTCAAGCATGGCATGCCCAGTCCCACCCGCCCTCCCACAACATAAGAAGCAAAGCTGGCACAACTGGGGGCCGAAGTCACACCGGCCAGCCGGTTTGGTACAGCTGATGCGGCCGCGATGGCGGTTGCCGACGGGAACTGGCGAGCGCGTGTTGAATGCCGCGCACGCATTGCCAGACGAGTTGAGAATGGCCCGGTACACCGCAGGAAGCCAGAGGTGGCCGGAGGAAGCCCGACGGTCTGACAGGACACCCCGAAGCATTTTTGTGAAAAAGCATTGGGTTTTTGATGTTTTTATGTTGAAATGCTTGCAAAAACACGGTGTTCGGTAGGATTCTGACATGAACGCGCGAGTGTGCTCTTTGTAATATTTTTTGCACAGGATTCGCGGCCTGGGTGCATGACAGAGCATCGCGAGTGCACCGC